CATGAGCGTCTCGTCAAAGTCGCACCAATGATAGTCAGACCCATACGACATTTTATGGTTCGGTGGTGAAAATGAAACAAGACAAAAACAAGCTTCGCCACCCGGAGTTTACTCTATTCTCAATTTCTAAATTTATGTTTTCTACAGATATAGCTTCACAGTTCCAGCAAATGTCGCAGCAACGAGAACTTTCCTTGCCTTTTCCTCCCGTTTCCGATTCGACTTGCTGTTCCCATCCACTTGGATCCATTTACACACAGTCACAGGTATCCGCTTCTCACCAGACTCCATAGCCCTCATTTCTGAACGCTCAAGTTTCCCTGTCGCAACCCGCCAATAAAGATTCCTTTCGCGTCAGGTGAAGTTCCACGACTGTTGACTCCCTCCTCACCTACACTCTTCCCATCGTCAACCACATTTTGCATCCCTGACGTCCGCCTAACAGAAGAATTTGACGCAAGTGACCGAACATCACAACTTCCAGAATACACAAACGTCCCACACGGACTAAACATGCCTTCAATCCTGTCTACCCTCACACAAAAAAAGGAAAATAAACGTCAGTAAGATCGACAACTATAGAATACGGTTTCTCACCCCAGCCCCGATCTCTCTCGCCGAAAACACTCTCAACATCGTCTCTGACGATAAATCAAATAACCGGATCTGGTTATCACACGAAATCAAGATGTAATTGTCATACAATGGATGCGACGACACACTATATACTGGCGTTTTGTTCACTTTCAGGTCTTTCAGTTGAATTGTATGTACAAGCGACATTGTCCGCATTTTGTAGATCCGGAGTGTGTACGATAACGACGCGATTAAGGTTTGTTCAGAGGGGTCTCCACAGAACACGAAGGATGTGAATGGTTCGTTTGCGTGGACACTTGAGATTGTTGGTTTCGGGTCGGATGTGTCCCAGATTTTGAGGGATTGGTCGCCAGAGCAGGATGCCGCACTGAAATCATACTATTTAGCAACAGTGTTTAACGTTCTGTGGGGATAAGAGCCTTACAATGTTTCTCGACCTGGTACGAATGCGACTTTCCATATCACACGGGAATGGTGTTTCTTCCAGCTTCGGACGAGGATGCTTTGTTTCCAATCCCATAGTTTCACGCAAAATTCCATGTCGGCGGTTAAGAGTAAGTCTGGGTTTGTTGGATGGAATACGACTGAAACGACGGGTTTGTGGGTTCCGTTGTCGAGTGGGAGACTAACGTTCCTGATTTCATATCCCAGAGAGATATTTTGCGGTCATGTCGGTCTTCACCACCGGCTGTCGCGATAATTATTTGATTGGATGGTGTCATGGTTGGTTGGATGTCGAGTGTGCGAATATGTCCAAGTACAGGGCCACATGTGGTTGAGAGAGCAAAGTCTGCAGTTTCGGTTTCTTTTGATGGAGGTGGCATGAGTTTCTAGGGTTGGAATGTGTTGAGTAATCTAATAATAAGCCCAACAAAGCTGCAACAAACGTCAAGCTCCGGCAATAAAGTTGTGGACGCATTCGACGAAGCTGTGCTGCGCCTATCAAATTCTTCGATAGTCGCTGATGATCAATAATTCAAAACATGAGCAGTTGGATCCAATTATTTGATTTGATTTGATTGAATAGGTTACAAAATTGATAGATACATAATGAACAGGGATTATTGATAGAGTATTGGGTAAGGATAGGCACAATGAATTAAAATAAGTTAAAAATGGACGGTATCAGCAATGCTTACGAATGGCAGATTTCGTCGTCCCGAAAGATTTGTTGGGTTTGTCACCATTTCCGCGGTCTGCCTTTTCAACAACGATTGATGGTTCAGAAACGTTATAGCTCTGAATACACGTCTGTGACATGTCGATGCTCACTTTCTTTTTAGGTGCTGTTGGCTGGGTGATGTTGACGTTGCGGTAGCTGTTGTTGCTGTTGTTGAGGGTATTGCTGTTGCTACTGCTGCTACTGCTTCCAGTAGACTGTGTAGATCCTCGACGTTCAGGAATCATCTCTGGTTGGAGTATGTTGGCTGGCAGCAAGTTGACTGGCGCTACAGGAGCAGATACAGGGGCTGGCGCTGTTGTTATCACCGAGGATTCAGTTGGCGGCGGGGGTCTGTAGTTCGACACCACACCGCTTCTGTCCACAACATTTCTCACACCATCTCGAAACTGATGAGCCGCCATAGCATCCAACAATCCGACGGTATTATTCGAGTTGAGTGAAAGAGCTGGAATCGGTAATGGGGAGGAATAGTCTCTTCAGGAAAAGAGTGGTTCAAGGCAAGAGCATACAGAGGGGTGACTCCAGGCACGTTGGGACCCATAGCACTTGACCAAAATGTTTCCAATTCACGCGCCCAATCCCAATGGATGTATGAATTTGCGGAAGGTTGCAAAAAGTACTGTGACTGAGAAGAGACGGAGTGTAGCAGTCCTTCGAGCATGGTATAGTCTGACGGTACTGGTTAGAATACACCCAGAGATGCATAGAATTTTACCTTCATAGAACCAAGCCCCACGAGTTGAATCTTTGGCCATCTGAATTTGGACTGGGGATAAATAAACGAACTGAGTGTGTGAAAAGCTGTCGTGTAGTCCTGGTTTTGAAAGCGATCCAAGAAAGCATATTTTTGGAGGATGTACAACAGATCTTCAAAAGCTATATTCGCGTCAGTTTCGGGTAACATATTAATAAGAGACGATATATCTTACATTCTTGAAGATTGCAGCGATTGGATGTTGGGTTGTTGCTGGTGAAACCATTGCTTCTCTGTGTTGCCGAAGTAAGCATTTAATAAATTCTTCAGGAAAACTCAACTGCACAATATAAATAGCGCCACTGAATGCATGGTGTTGAAGATATTCTTGAAGTCTTTGCCTGGAGGGGATGGAGGCTGTGAGAAGGACGCGAGAATGGGAGGAGCTTCTCGTTGCAGAATTTCAGCAGTTTGGGAAAGACCCATATCGATGCAGTAGCTGAGAATGGATTGAATGGCCGTCCAATGAGCGGCAGGTTGAGGCGAAGGGGTAGTCTATTTCTTCATCAATATCCAAGCAATTGAATGCAGGCAACATACATCGAGAGCCACAATCGAATTGACGAGATCCCTGTTCTTTTCACACTCCACCTGGAGTTGAGCGGCCCTTCTCTTTGCCCTGTCGAGTTTCGCCTGCAAGCGATCCCTTTCTCGCGCGTCCTTCAAGGTCGCATCAGGCTCAACCGAGTCGGTGCTGGTGCTGTTTTGAGCCGCCAAGTCCTGAATTGAGGGTGGAGGCGAGAGTGGTTTCAGGATAGTTTTGTTTCTCGATCTGAATGCGAGGTCGCTTTCTTCGGCGGCCCTCGCGACAGAAGAAAAGAAGAGGACGACGCGGCGGTGGCCAGAGTTCGGACGCGGCGGAAGATCGATTGGCGGAAGAAGGACGCGCTGGTTGCTGTTGTGTGCGAGTTGTCGCTGAATTGTCGTCGGCCGAAGCGACTCGCGTTTGGCGGATCAGAGCCTTGATTGGCAATGTCGGCGGATGCGGCCCATTTGCTGCGCGTCGATGACGTCATTTGGTGGGGGTTTGTTTGGGTGGTGCTCGGCTTCAGTGGGTTTGTCAGCTTTCTTTCATGGCGAAGTTGACAAACAAATAGACAAGGCACTCACTCGCTAGGGTATAATACGTGGCTTCCTTCTCGAATCCAAACAGGAAAGACCCCTTGTTGTTGCGTGTTTGCGCGTGGGTTTTTTTCGCTTGGTTCGGACAAGGGATCAAAAGCACTTGAAATGAAAAGACCACCTGAAATGTGTTCAATCTGCTCTGCTGACTGATGCAAGCGTGGCCAAGAAACTACCAGTTTATTAATTCATCTGCTTCACCACTCAATCTTGCTTCCATCGTATCTCAATACGAGCCTGTCATATTCAAATCACCAAATGCCTTATCAATGACACTCGACAGCCCAGCTGCACTCTTGGAAGTAGTAATAGCGGCACCAGCTCCTCCCATATCGGTTTGCACCCATCCTGGACAAAAGAGGAGGACAGAAATGTTTTCAGATTCCATTCGAGACTTCAAGGAATCGAACATAAGTATGAAATATTCACGAAGAAGACAAACACGAAAATCCACACTTACGAAAGACTTTTCATGTATGAATTAATGCACTCTTGCTCGCACGGTACGCATAATGTTGTCCACTCGAATTCCCTCCAATGCTACCCCACTCCGACGAATGTTGGCAACGACTGCAGTACCTCCAGCCGCTTTCAAGTTTCCAAAGAGGATTTGGCAAGCAAGAACGGTCCAACGGCGTTAGTCTCAAAATGGTCCATCAATGTCTTCTTGTCGATTTGTTCAACCAGAATCCCCGCGTTGTTGATGAGCAAATCCACAGGTGTATTACCAAGAGATGCTGCGAATGCGTTGATGGAAGACTCCGATGAGGTGTCGAGACTGTATTTCGTTGTGCTCGCGGGAGAAAGTCCAAGGTTGACACCTTTCGCGCTGTCGCAATCACGTTCCATCCAGCCTGGACGTAATGCTCTGTAAGTGCTTTTCCAATGCCACGCGAAGAACCAGTGATTATGACTGTCTTGACCATGCTGATGTTGTGACTTTTTTTGTGTTTGAAAAGGTGTCAATCTGAATGGATTTGAAATGGTGCTGTGATTTTATGATAGTAACAGGGTAGCTGGTAGCAGCTGGAGAATAGGTGGTATGAAAATCACATTTCAGAATCTGACAAGAATTACTTCTAGAGACCAGTACAAGTCAACTTTGTTACAACACCGACCCTCCAGTGAACTGCATCTGGTGAAATAAATATACATCTAGTTTTTTAAATGCCTGATAGAAGGAGAATGCTTGAAAAATCGCTACAGAATGTTGGAGAATCATTTTCCAAAAAACACAGCAGTCCGATAATAGTTTATGGCTATTCTAGGATAATACTAGTTAGACAAAGTTCTTCCAAGAATTGAAAGATAAATCAATTATAAACAATTAATGGTTCACAGACAGGGCGAATGGCCGAGTGGTCCAAGGCGATGCGTTTAGGCCGCATTCTAGAAATAGGCGTGGGTTCAAACCCCACTTCGCTCATGTTTTTCCCTGGTGTTGGAACGTTGAATGATGATGAGCGGTTGGTGGGTATGATTTTGCAAACGACTCTGGCACTTTGCCCTCTTTGGTGGCATCGTCTCTACGTCGGTGAAAGAATACATTACGGCCTTTATTAGGTTGAGTTCTCGGTGTCTTTCTTTGAAGTTAGGGCTCCCTCAACGTTGTGTCAACGTGGTAGCTGTATTCCACTGCTGACCATACCAATTACCAGGTGGATAGTAGTCACACACCAAAATGATATCATTCAGATACGCGGGCTGGGTCGGGTCCGGGTACGGGTTCTTTCCAGCCGCAACAGCACAACCAAGCGACTTTGTGGTTTTCCAAATGTCCAACAAAACATCTCAGTAATTTTAAAAGTATGCAGACGGGTCTATATTGTCACCTGAGTAACGTGGTTGTATGTGCCTGGTGCAGTGGGGATTGGTTCAGAATTCCAAAGACCAACAAGCGACGTGTATGGGATGGCCGGAAAAGGCGAGGAGCTGTACTGCCAGGCCAAGTTTTGACCGTATCCAGTGTGATCGCCGTGACGTGGGTTTCCTGGGTCTCCGTCAGTTGCTTGAAATTTGGCGAATTGCATAGAGTGATTGGCCCCTATTCATTTTATCATTTTGAAGGTTAGATTTTTAATTGTAAGGTAGAATACACACATCCAATCGCGTGATTGGCGATCGTCTTATCCCAAACCAGTGGAGGAACTCCCTTGGCTGTGCGGATATCATTGTGGGCTTTAAGAAGTGCTGTGATGGCTGTGGATCCAAGGTGACAATGCGAGCAGGTGTAGCTGTCATTTTTGTAATAAACAAACAATAGAACTGCTTTCTGATTTGATGGAACGGAAATTCGGCGTCCACAAAAGAGATTTGAAAATATGAGGACTGCTAAATCTTCATTCACATAAGATAGTCGATGAGGACGATTAAAGGAATAAAATAAAGAAGATGTTCCAAGGAGCTCAATGCATGCATTGTCGCGCCACTTCCAGCCTTGGCTCCTGTTCCTGCCTCTCCATTTCCTCCCAACGAATTTGTGGTTCCAATCAACACGGTACTAGATGTTTCAGCGAATGTACGCACATTGGTGGCTGTGACCGTGCTACTTGGTGCTACTGTCCCGGTAGTTCGGATAGGCCCCAAGTCAACCGTTGCAAGTCCGCAGTGGGCCATGCGTCAACGTTTGACCAGTCGCGAAAGCTCCCAACGCTGTCTGGTTTGCGATGAACAGATGTGCTTGCCCTGCACATAAAACGGGAACCGCATCCACCTGATATTCCGTTAGTAAAAAAACACACAGCAGGTGGAGACTACAGGTACTCACAATTGACTGCGCCTGTTCCAATGCCATATCACTGTATCCTGGTGCCAAACACCATCTGTCCTATCAGACGAGCAGGAATTGTAGGTCGTCATAAACGACCTCTGGTCTTGACAGATGGAGTTGATGATGGATAATGGATCTGTAGATCTGGGAGAATACTATATGGAAGCAAAGATTAGTTGTTGTCGTCTGGATATTCGCGGTCCAAGCGGGATGTTGGCAGTCCGGAAGCAACACCACGGGCCAGGCATCGTGCTACTATACCAAGAGAATTCAAGAGTAGCCGAAAGTACCGCAACAGTCAAAGAGGCAAGAGAGCAACGAATTGAATCAACTGACGCACCAAGAAAACACAGGCTTGTGCGCACTTAGGCAGCGCAACGATTTGCGCAATAAACTGGTCCAGATACTGAGCCTGTGCCACGGTCAAGGACGGCAGTTGCGTGGTTTGTGATGATGTTGCTTGTGTTGACATCGTTTGACTTTTTCGATTTGGAATGGATTCAAAAGGAAAAGCGACAGAGAATATGCAATGCTTTTATTTGTAGTGTGGATCTTCGCACACGAAATTAGAAACAGGAAGGATTGAGATTAGAGGAGCAAGAAAGCTCCAAACAACCCAAACACACTCAAGATTGGCCCCGCGGCTCCGTTAGCCTTATTCGCCGAGTTTCCAGAAGCAGCAGTGTTTCCAGCAGCGTCAGACTTTGCGACAGGTGATGGGAGAGCTGATGTGGCAGCAAGGGGAACATAAGTTTTTGTAATGCCAGTGACAGCAGGAATAGATGACAAGGCAGTTGCAGCCGCGGAAGCAGAAATAGAACCAGATTCGGCAGACGCGTTAGTTACATTCGCACTTGGAGCAGTGACAGATGGAACCACAGTTGGTAACGAGGCAAGGGTGTTGGCAAGGGCTCCTTGAGTGGCGATAGCAACAACTGGAGCGACAGAGGAAATTGGAGCAGACATTTTTGAATGTGATTTGTTGGTTGTTGTTTAAGTTGTTTTGATGATGTTAGAAGGAAAGACGGGGATGGTTTTTAATGTGTCAAACGCGACCCCCCTAGCAACGTCCAGAACCTGTTGCTTGGCATTTGATAACGCGTATCTGGACAATTAAATACAGGTTCTTTTAGAACACAGTTCGGTCAAGGAAAAAGCCTCGAGAACCTGAGAGACTTGGATCATCTCTGTCAACAGCAAAGAGCCTATCAGTAAAATCGTTCCAGCTTATGGTAAGATACTGAACTACTTTATTTTTGAACGCGATGGTTCGACGATTTCATTGCGCCATTTGATCTTCAGTATCAAAGAATGAAGGAAACGACGAATCCAAATGCAACCCATCCGCCAACAAAGTGTTTGCTGGATGTAGACACGGTTGTTTGGACCACAGCGGTCGTGGTAAGGGCGGCAGCACCAGGAGGCTTAGTAGGAGCTGCAGTGGTTGGAATCACGGTGGTGGTAGTCGACGAGGAAGTTGAGTTGAATGACGCGGTGACGAGAGTTGCATTTACGTTGGTGGCTGAAGGCAGAACTGTTGACGTTGAGTCAGCAAATGTGGTAACGGCAACAGAGACCAAAGTTGCTACATTCTCAGTTGTAGTTTCGATCAAGGAGTTAGTAGCAGCAGCAGTTGGTGCAATGGTGGCAGCAGTGACTGTGGTTGCAGTTGAAGTGAGGACAGGGAAGACAGCCTGAGCCTGTGCACAATACGCTGGAACAGAGGCGATCTACATCAAAAATGAGCCTTGACTGCAATTATGATGCAAAATGTACTCACGAATGTCTGGGAGGTTGCGATGTCAGCGGGAGCAGTGCAGTTGGCAGCAAGGCAGGCGTTCTCAACCGCAACAAACTTGGACTGATCAGCACACAACAGACTTGCAACATCGTACGGAGTATTGGCAGTCGGAGCGTACTGCCAGCAACATTAGCGTCTGCTCATTTGATGATTCATCAACTCACACTCTTGAGGCAGTTGAACGTGCATTCCGGAAGCGCAAAGATCACGGCTTTGAATAAATCAGAGAACTGGGCTTGCTCTTGAGTCAAGTCAGCGGCCGTGGCTGTGGCATTTGTTGCGCAAAGGCGGCAAGGGCAAAGAGCGGCAAAAGAGTGATCATGTTTTTGGTACTAGTTTCTTCCCTTTCAAGATACAATAAACGCGTTTGATTATACATAATTCTAAAAAGAGAGGGGAAAAGGAGAAGCATGACCAGAATCCGGTGTGCAATTGGCTGCGATCCTCAGCTTGCCACTCTCTCAGTCGACATTGACACATCAATCGAAGTTGAAGACCTGAAAGTTGCAATTCACTTAAAGGCGGCTCCCCAGTTGAACCGGTGGGGGCCACAAGAGCTCCTCCTTGTTCGGGTGGTGAATGCAGATATAGGTGGATTGATCAAACATCAACTCATTGCGTGCATGAGTATCTTACACTTCGGCACTTTTGGCGCTTTCCCTGAGGATGCGATCGAAAAGGACGAACTTCAACAGTTTGAGTCTCTACAGGGAGCTTTCAGAGAGCTCAGCGGCTTCCATTTCAAGGTGTTACTTCTTCTTGCACTTATATATGATGCTTACATCGTGTTTTAAAGGCAATGAATTCGTCCACTGTCGTTTCTGAGTACACGCAAAACCTCACACCCTCTCTTCATCACATTGTTGTACTTACCCCATCTGTTCCACCGAATTATACCCTGTCAATGAGCGATAATTACGTCAATGAATCGCTTGAATCCTTCTGGAAGTCATTACCTTCGCTAGAGCCGCCAAATGAAATGTTGAGATTCACAAGTATTCCACCCTTCTTTCCACCGGATATGACTGCTCTATACATACGGGAATCTTATTTCCTTCTCTTTGAAAGAATCAAGAATACTCTCGACCCAGTCTTTGATTCCCGTAAAATTCGGATGGCTATTACTGGAAACCCTGGTACGGGGAAGAGTATATTTCTCTTCTACATTCTATGGAGACTCTCAAAAATGGACAAAAACCGTGCCAGCTCCGTGATTCTTCATCGTGCAAAAGATAATGGAATACTCTATATTTTCGGTCCCACGCACTGTTGGCGTTCTGTGAATGAAACTGATATCATTCCACTGCTTGACATTCCAACAACTTGGTATCTGACAGACACATTGACTCCCTGTCCCGGTGAAGTGAACGCTGTTACGATTTTAGTCTCATCTCCAGCACGAAAACACTACAGTACATTTCTCACATTTGGTGCGACTGATAGCTTACGCTGTCTTCCCGTATGGTCCTTGGACGAATTGCAGAAAGCTGCAGCGCTTTTCCCAAAGTTGAATCCCACTGATGTTGAAGCTCGATACTCCGTTATAGGCGGTATCCCTCGATTCGTCCTCGAAGAGTCTGATGAGGACCTCAAACAAATCATTGGCAATTCAGTCTCAAGGTTAAATATTGAAAAGTTACATTTGATTGCTGAAGTATATCTTGATGAGGATGACGAAATTTGTTCTCCGATTATCCATTACCTTGTCAATGAACGATTCCAAAAATCCGGCACAGAATTTGCATCCATGTATGTTACCGAATTAGCTCTCTTGCATTTCTTGAAATATCATCAACAGCAGCTCAGCAAGTTTCTGTTGCCCAATACATCCCTTCTCATGACTGCGGGTCTTCAT